CTAATCCTAGATGACACATCTTGAGAGCCTTAATTATATCTGCAAAGACCCTTTAACCAAATAAAGTCTCTGTCACAAGCTGAGGGGGTCAGAACTGTTCAACCAGGACTACAGCCTGCCTGTCCCCTCCTATTTGGTTTTGTGCATTGCATTCCCTGTGCCACAGTCATCCTGCCTGACAGAGAGCCTGAGGGCTGGTCCCACCTGTCCCAACTTCCTTGGGTCTGCAACGTGAAGGGATTGGCTCCAGCCACCCTGGCAAGCCAGTAAGAAATGTCACCCCAAGCTCCAGCCATGGGACCGTGTGTCCTGGGAAGCATGCCTCCCTCCCAGCACCCTGCCCTGCCTTCAGATAAGTCCTTAATGATGGTTGTGATGACAGTACCAGTAATCACAATAATAACTGCATTTGCTGAGAGGCCTCTGTCCCGGGAGCATTAAATGTCCATAACCCTACGGGAAGTAAAGAAAACTCACCTCCACTCGGTACCTCCAACATGACAGCACCACAGCACGCCCTTCACAGCATCCCCTCCCATGTCCTCACAACAGCCCTTGGAGTAAGAACAAACCACCCCCATTTTACTGATGAGTAGACTGAGGCTCAGAGAGGGTGGTTGCACAGCAAAGAACTGGAATATAAGCCCCGCTCAGAGTGACCCGAGAACCCAAACTCTTTCTGTGTCTCTGAGACTTCCTAGCAGACCTTTGTCTCTACTCAGTGCCTTAGACTTGTCTTCGGTCTTTTTTTCATTTTAGCCTCTCTGTCCCCTGGTCAGGTTGAGTCAGCCATTGCTACCTGCCTTGCTTGGCCAGTGAAGAAGCAAGGGCAGAGGAGCCAGGGATACCTGCAAGAGGGCCATGAGCAGAGCCCAGCTCTCCAGACCCCGCGTCCAGCTCTGTGTTCCTGAGAAACATAGAGTGTTTCTAAGATGCCTTAGAAAATAGATTCAAGCCCTCAGTGTATAGAGGAGGAAGTTAAGGGATCCCAGCCACACCTTTTCTTTTATTTTTTGTCTTTTTACTTTTGTTTGTTGTTTTGTTTTTTAACATCTTTATTGGAGTAAAATTGCTTTACAATGTTGTGTTAGTTTCTGCTGTATAACAAAGTGAATCAGCCATATGCATACATATATCCCCATATCCCCTCCCTCTTGCGTCTCCCTCCCACCCTCCCTATCCCACCCCTCTAGGTGGTCACAAAGCACCGAGCTGATCTCCCGGTGCTATGCAGCTGCTTCCCACTAGCTATCTGTTTTACATGTGGTAGTGTATATATGTCAATGCTACTCTCTCACTTCGTCCCAGCTTACCCTTCCCCCCCCCCCCCCACCCCGTGTCCTCAAGTCCATTCTCTACGTCTGCGTCTTTATTCCTGTCCTGGCCCTAGGGTCATCAGAACCTTTTTTTTTTTTTAGATTCCATAGATATGTGTTAGCATACGGTATTTGTTTTTCTCTTTCTTACTTACTTCAGTCTGTATGACAGACTGTAGGTCCATCCACCTCACTACAAATAGTTCAGTTTCGTTATTTTTATGGCTGAGTAATATTCCATTGTATATATGTGCCACATCTTCTTTATCCACTCATCTGTCGATAGACACTTAGGTTGCTTCCATGTCCTTGCTATTGTAAATAGTGTTGCAATGAACATTGTGGTACATGTGTCTTTTTGAATTATGGTTTTCTCAGGATTTATGCCCAGGAGTGGGATTGCTGGGTTGTATGGTAATTCTATTTTTAGTTCTTTAAGGAACCTCCATACTGTTCTCCACAGTGGCTGTATCAATTTACATTCCCACCAACAGTGCAAGGGGGTTTCCTTTTCTCCACACCCTCTCCAGCATTTCTTGTTTGTAGATTTTTTGATGATGGCCATTCTGACCTGTGTGAGGTGATACCTCATTGTGATTTTGATTTGCATTTCTCTAATGATTAATGATGTTGAGCATCCTTTAACTCTTAGAGGAAAACATAGGCAAAACACTCTATGACATAAATCACAGCAAGATCCTTTTTGACCCACCTCCTAGAGAAATGGAAGTAAAAACCAAAATAAACAAATGGGACCTAATGAAACTTAGAAGCTTTTGCACAGGAATGGAAACCATAAACGAGATGAAAAGACAACCCTCAGAATGGGAGAAAATATTTGCAAACAAAGCAACTGATAAAGAATTAATCTCCAAAATATACAAGCAGCTCATGCAGCTCAATATCAAAAAAACAAACAGCCCAATCCAGAAATGGGCAGAAGACCTAAATAGACATTTCTCCAAAGAAGGTGTACAGATTGCCAGCCACACCTTTTCATCAGCATGGAGCTGGCCAAGACCCCAGGCCTCAACCTCTTCTTTGACTTGTAAATCCAAGCCTTCAAGCTCCAGGCAACGTCCTGTACCAACCTCTCTTCCTTATCTGGTACCCAAAGTCAGACCTCCAAACCCTATTCAAATCCTGAGCTCTGCTTTGAAAGCCAGAATTCTAATCCCATTTTGAAGAGTCTCTGCTAGTTCCTGAGCTGTCTCCGAGCTGCTATGAGTGTCACCCTCCTCCTTCCCGCCCACCCCCCTACCCTGCCCCAGAAGGTGAGAGCCATCTCTCAGCACCTTTGCCCCTCGTCAGTCATACCAACAAGAGCTGGGGCTGGGAGGGGTCTTCCTCTGACGGGGGCATTGCCCAGACTCAGCTTTTCGAGATGATGCAGCCAACTGGATTTCAGGGCTCCCAGCCCTGGCAGAGACCGTGTCTACTCCACATCTCTTCTGAGAAGGCAAATGAGGAGTGAGAGAGATGAGAAACCCTAATTAGTGGAATGATGTGCCCCCTGTGTGTCTGCCTGCGGACGTGGGTCTCAGGGCTCTGGAAGTCTCTCTTCAGATTCCTGCGAACCAGGGCCCCAAGGGGCTTTTGTCCAGCACACCTTTGCCTTCTGTGGTTTTATATTTTCAAGTTCACTGGTAAAGTTCTTGGGCCTTCAACCTCATGCCACTAATCGTACTGCCTGGAAAAGCATTCTTTTGGAGATTTCATGAAATGTGCTTCTTAAGGCATTGAGATTCGGGTGACATTTATCATCCCCCAGACACAGCCGGGCACTCCCACTTCCTTGGTCTCATTTAGTTTCACCCCAGTGGGGCAGGGTGGGCTTTGATAACTCTGTTCAGACAGATGCTGAGACAGAAGCTCAGAAAGGCAGCAAGAACCAGAGTGGGAATTGGAATTCAGGCTTTTCCGTACCGTCTTGTATCTGCCTCAGATTCATAGCACGTCGGAGCAAAAGGGGTCCAATTTCCAACAGAAGACCAACTTGGGACGCCCAGAGAAAACACCGAATTCCCAGGCCCGTAACCATATCCCTCGTGTTTTCTATCACAGGCCTGTTCCCAGGGAGGATGCATCATTGGTGCGTCCTGGGAAGGCAGAGAGCCTGGGTTTGAGTCCTGAGGTGTGAGGAAGGTCTAAAACCTTTCTGTGCTTCTCTTCCTTTATCTGTCAAGGGAGGGTAATAAAACTACTTACTGTACGGGGTTGCATAGTATCTGTCCCCAAATTCATGTGATGTGGCTGCTAGCAAGGGGCATCAAGGATTGATAACAACCCCCAGAAATGAGAAGAGGCAAAGAAGGACCCTCCCCGAGAGCCTGCAGAGGGGACGTGGCCCTGGCAACACCTTAATTTGGAGCTTCTGACTCAGAACTGTGAGACGGTAAATTTCTGTTATTTTGAGCCCCCAGTTTGTGGTACTTTGTTATGGCAGCCCGAGGAAATGAATACGATTCCCCATCAGGATGTTGGGAATACAAGACGTGTTCACCCTGCTACTTTTTTCCAGCCACACCATACTCCTTGCCGGGTGTCCTAAGGCTCTATGTTCTCCTTTATATCTTCCCTTTCCCCTAAAAGCCTCTTCGTTTGCCTTTGCCATCTTTCCATCCTTTCATGCCCAACCTCTGGCATTAGGGCCTCGAGAGAGCCTTCTCTGACAGCATGTCCCCCCTCCCAGCGCTGCCCCTTGTGAGTAAGGACGTCACTCAGAAATCAGACTGTTGTGGGTTTGAATCACCGTCCTGACACCGAGGGGCTTGTTGAACTCTGGACAAGTTAACTAGTGCACACGGGGCTGCAGCTTCCTCGTGCTCAAGGGAAGGTGGAGCCTTTATTCGCAAGGTTCTGGTGGGGATCACGTGAGATAATCAAGGAGACAGTTTGCTCAGTCTCCCAAAGTAGAGTGCTCAGTACAGGAGCTGCCACCATTGCTGTCACCACTTCTCCTTTGCTCCCCCAGGGCCCCTGCGCCTTAGTTTGGGTCTCCCCAACGGCCCTGGAGAGGAAGCAGGCACAGGTAGTGAGTTGGGAAATGAGTCAGGGAAGGAAAGGCAGGAGGCTGCTGGTAAGGGTGTGCCGTCAAGCCAGTTAGCCCTGTGGGCAAACTCTCAAACTCCGGGAGCCGTGGGATGGACAAGGGGTCTGGGGTGTAGATGCCCCAGCTGCCTGCATGGGCCGAGTGTTGCTTCTGTGGACCTTCACTCTTCGGCATCACCAGTCTGTTACAGCAACGCGGGCTCTGCTGGCAGACAGAATCGTCGGTCAAAGAGAAGCGGGGCTGGCGATGGAGGTGAGGTGTGAGCGGAAGTGGGGAGGGCGCGGGCCACGGGAGGCACAGATACGTGTATCTCAGCATCATAGGTATTGGTGCATCTGTCTGTTTTCCTCCCAGGCTATGAGCTCCTTGAGTGCAGGGCTGCCTCTTCCCCCTCCTGTTTGTGCAGCTGCTTTTTCAGCACTTTCTTAGTGTAAATACCTGATCAACAGGTGAATCTGGTCCAGCTCTTCCATTTTGCAAATATTGGAGAGGTTGTGGCGTAGCCAGCACTGCTCCACTAGCAAGATTTCAGAACCAAGACTTGAACCCAGGCGTAGGGATGCCGTGAGGGGCTGCCTTTTTGTTCCTTTGAAACGTTGGCCTGAATATTCTCCCTTTTGGCTGTCACTCAGGTCTGCATCGTGCAGAAGCGAGACACTAAGAAAATGTACGCGATGAAGTACATGAACAAGCAGAAGTGTATCGAGAGGGACGAAGTCCGGAACGTCTTCCGGGAGCTCCAGATCATGCAGGGGCTGGAGCATCCTTTTTTGGTCAATCTGTGGTGAGTGATTCCATCCAGGGCTCCGGTGAAATCCTCATTATGGAGCCAAATGCAAATCCGGCTCTGCTAGAAGGAAGCTTCTGTACTGTAGAGAGAAAGAAATGAAATTTTCTGGGTTCACATATTCTTATGAATATTTCGTTGGGTACACTTTCTGATGACTAATCGGTAGAGTACATTTTCTGATGAAATCATTAAACATAGGCTTAATTTTCATTCGGTCCTCTTACCTGGTGAATCAGAATTGAAATCGGTTTAGAAGAGAAGGTTTTTGTATGTTCGAGAACACATGTAGAATGTGATAAGAGGATGCCAAATGGAGCCTTCTAAGGGGAATTTAACTTTTTTAGAAAATTACACCCACAGTGTTCGTGGCAAGCAGGACTTGCCATGAACATGAGGAGCTGACGTTTTACTCCACTTAGGATGGCTGCCCGGTGTGGACATGCTAAATTCAGGTTTTGAATCTGGCCGATGAGGCCCGCTAGGAGCCATGTTCTGGAACTTTCTCTCCCTCCCACCCCTGGCTATCATCTCTGCTTTAATTTGTGTCCTAGATTTGCCCCTTTGCTGGTTGTTTCCCTGCCTCTGTGTCTTTGCATGTGAAGTCTCCTCTTCCTGAAACTTCCGCCTTCCTGTCTCCCCAGCTTCCTCTGACCAAATGCCGTGCATTCCTTTGGTTCAGCTTTCGAGGTACGTAGGCGAGGAGCCTTCGCTGCCCCGCAGGCTGGGTGAACACTCCTCATGTCTCCACCTTGACCTGTGCTTGACCCAACGTAGCCTGCATCACCTTGAACCCAAATTATTGTTTATTTATCTGTCCTTACTAAGAAATCACTTGCTCCTTGAGAACAAAGACTGTTTCCTGGTTCTTTGTTTCTGGGAGTCTAATACAGCCTCAGACATGTTGGGGGCACTTAATCAATGTTTCCTGAGCTGGATTTTGTTGAAGGGGAGAGGACAGGCTATTCTAGGAAACAAAATCTGACAGTTGTATTTTGCATCTTTTGATCTTCAGAGCATCCTTTCTGATGGGAAAGTCTAGCCTAGCCTGAATCCCTAATATCACCAATTATTTCTCTTGCCCTTCATATATAGAAGCACTCTGAACACTGGGTGATAGGACAAGGAGGGACATCAGTTGTCCTGTTTGAGAAAATCCAAGTCTGCCCAGCAGATGCCTCAGACTTGGGCATTTCTGTGGGCAAACGCCATACTGTGTGTCATACACTAGAATCTGGGTAGCAAGTATGCATTTGTCATGTCTCCAGCCACCCAAACACTTCAGTTTTTTGGGGGCAATAAACCTCTTCATGTTTTGATTGTGGTACGAGGAAATGTTTTAAATTTATTTTTTATTGCGGTGACATTTGGTTTATAACATTACATAAATTTCATGTGTACAACATTATATTTCTACTTCCATATACCCTACAGTGTGCTCATCACCAAAAATTAAGCTTCCGTTCATCACCATACAGTTGATTCCCTTTACCCATTTCACTCCCCTTCCCCCAGCCCATCCCTTTCCTTCCGGTAACCACTCCTCTATTCTCAGTATGTATGTACGTGTTTGTTTTTCATTGATCTGATTTGTTCCTTTATTTTTTGTTTGTTTGCTTTTTATATTCCACATATGAGTAAAATCATACAATATTTGTCTTTCTCCATCTGACGTATTTACCTTAGCATAATAACCGTCAAATTCTATCCATGTTGTTTCAAATGGCAAGATTTCATCTATATTTTTATGGCAGAATAGTAATCAGTTGTATATATATACCACATCTTCTTTATCCATTTGTCCGTTGATGGGCACTTAGGTGTTTACCATATCTTCACTATTATACATACATAGCACTGCAAGGAGCGTGGGAGTACAAATAGCTTTTCAAATTAATGTGTTTGTATTCTTTGGATAAATACCCAGAATTGGGACAGCTGGCTCATATGGTACTTATAGTCTTAATTTTTTGAGGAATCTCCATACTATTTTCCACTGTGGCTGCATCATTTCTAATCAGAAAAGCAACATAGGTTCATTGCAAAATACAGAAAATGACATACATAAGAAGGCAACAATTATCCAGAATCCTACCACCACCAGATTACATTTCGGTGTGTAATTCTTTTTATACTTCTTTTCTCATATCAATATGACTGTAACTGTCATTGATATAAAACCATGCATAACAATGTTGGATTTTGTTTTTTCAAATTAATTGTCTAGTAGGAGCATTATCTCCTTACTACAAACTTTCTGTAAATCACTTCTAATGGCTACATAACCTTCCACTGTGGAGAAGTTCAATAAGACATCTAACCGCTAACCTGTCGTATAGGTTATTTAGGGCTGTTTCTAATTATCTTGCCAATGTAAATAATGCTGAGATGAAGATCTCTGAGCTTGAACTGTTTCAGGGGAGACTCCTTAGACCGAGTAAGGGCGTGGGATGTACATCTGGACTGTGATGTGTGTTGAAGGAGGGAGGATGTGTCGGCATCCTCCCTTTTTAGGACCGTTTTTCGATGCTCTGTTCATGGTCTCCAAGATGCCAACAGATTAATGACAGACCCCCTTTAATTCCATGTAAGCGCTGGGTCAATGGGAAAGCTCCCTGTGCACGTTGGCCTCTTAGGGCATTGGATTCCCATCATAAGCAAGAAAGGATAGAACCTGCTGCTTGATTTTGGAGTCTCCAACTCTTTGGCCTCAATTTTTCACCTGCTAATGGTGAAAATAATACCTTGTTTACTGCTAGCACTGTTTTGAGAGTTAACTGATAGGAAAAGATATGACAGTATATTTTCTGTAAGTGAAAATATTGTTTACTGTAAGAGGTTATGTATATATGTGTGTGTGCATGTGTATACCTACATATGATAATAGATGGATGACAGATAGATAGAGAGAGAGAGAGAGAGGGAGAGAGAATGCTCCTTCCAGCTATAAGTGAAAAGGAGAGGGTCCTTAGTTCACTGGGCAGTACTGAGTACTTTACATATGTGTGGCTCAGGGGGCAGAAACTTAAACTTGCTTCAACACCAAAGGGAATTTCTTGGGTTTTATACCTAAAAAGTCTAGAATTCTAGCTGACTTCGGTCTCTATCTCCTGCTTTCCCCTGTGCTGGCTGTGTTTCAGAGCCACGACTCATGCTGACTGATGGTTTTCCTACTTCTACTAGCTGAACAGCCACAGCAGAGGCTGAAGGTCACGGGCGTGATTGACCTGGTCATGTGCTCCTTCCTAAAGCAATGGGGAAGGGGCCAGGAGGTTGGTCCCACCTGAGTCTTAGGAATCTGCAGAGGGAGGTTGGGAGCTGCTTCCAGAAAACAGTAGTGACTGTGCCCACCACGTGATTGGCACCTGCCACCCAGACATTCTATCCTTGTGCTGGAGTCTTCATAACAGCCCTGTGGGACAAGGGGTTTGGGCCCCATTTGTCAAAGAAGTAAAGCAGGGCTCAACGCAGTTCATGATCTTACCTGAATCAACGGAATTGCGATTCAAACTCAAGATCGTCCAGTGTGCCCCGAGGTTTCCAGTTCTTGTAGGCAAATACCACTAACGTTTATTAGGCACTTGATAAGTGTCTTCTTTAACTGCTATTAATCCTCCTAACGGCCTCTTTAGTTTCCTACTATCATCCTATTATTATTGTCCCCATTTTACAGATGGGGTAACTGAGTCACACCACTAATAAATGGAGGAGATGGGACTTGAACCCAGGCTGTCTGGCATCATGGCCCACATTCACAACCCTTCTGCCATGGCTGCTGTGAGAAGGCCCTGACCCTACCCTGCTTAGCCCACCACACCCCCTTCCTCTCTGCATGGAGCCCCTCCTGCTGGGCTTCTGTTTGCTGCCTCCCTTACCCTGCTAGGAGGGAGCATGGCGTGGGATTGCTCGTCAGGTTCATAAGGACACCACTGCTTTAAATTAATTATACATCAGCTTTTCATCTCATTACACGGAGGGTGAATTATCGCAGACTTGGAAAGCCTGGCTACGCCCCTTGTCGTTCTTCTCTTTTGCTGACATGCTCTATAACTGGCAAAGGCAAAGGCAAAGGCCGGGCACTGATTAGTTTTCACGACAATTTGCCCTCTAAGGAACGAATGATGGGTGCTCCCAAGCCCGTGACGATCCAGGTGTAGTTGTCAAGTACAATATTTTCACCTGTTCTGAAGCAAAGCTGTTTTGCTCTCTGGGGCTTAAGACAACTGGGGCAAAGGAAAAAGGCAATGAAAAATCACACCCCAGAGAAGAGGGCTGTGCACGAGCGGGAGCCCTGGAGAGGTGGGGAGGGGAGAGATGGCGGGGAGGGGAGAGATGGCGGGGAGGGGAGAGATGGCGGGGAGAGTTTCAACACTGGCTCTGAGGTCCGATCTCCCAGGTTCTAATGACAGCTCTGCCTCTTGTAGGCAAAGCGGCTACTCTGGAACTGTGTGGCCTCCCCGCCCCCTTCCCGCCCCACAATATGACTAACCCCCAATATGACTATATCTGGAGACAGGATCTTTAGGTGGCTGTTAAGGTTATACGCGGTCATTAGGGTGGAACCCTAATCCGAAAGGATGGTGGCCTTGTAAGAAGATGGAGAGAGAGCGAGTCTCTGCCATGTGAGGACATAGCAAGAAGGTGGCTGTCTGCAAACCAGGAAGAGAACCCTCACTGGAACACGACCATGCCCAGACCCTGATCTCGGACTTCCAGTCTCCAGAACTGTGTGAGAATACACTAACTTCCAGTGCTTCCGCCTCCCAGGCAGTAGTATTTTGTTACGGCAACCTGAGCAGACTAATACAGAGGGCTCGAGAGAGATCTGATTCTCCCCCCGTGTCTCAGTTTCCTTATGTGGAAAATGGAAATGAAAAGATGACCACATGATAGAGTTGCTATAAGGACCAAATGGGGGAATACATAACAAGCATCCACATGGTCCCAGGCATGAGGTGACCGCTGGATCAGGGACCTCCACTGCTGTTGCTATGATT